CCCTTGATATATTACAAACAGAAATGCATACATAGGAATACCACAAGACACGTTCAAGAATGTTCATATCAGGTTGTCAGTAACTCCAAATTTCGAAAGAACCAAAACGATCTAAAACAATAGAAGCAGTAAGTGTAGTATATTCATAGAAAACAGAATACATACAGCAGTGAATAAACTGTAGCAACATACAAAGACATGGATGAATCAAACATAACTAAGTGAAAGAGACCAAACACAAAGGAATTCATTCAAAAGTAAGAAAAGCCATCTGTGGGTTAGAAGTGATAAGAATAGTTATTTTGAGAGGAAAATGAGAGCAATGATTGCACAGCAGTTGAATACACTGCCCATTTCTTCTCTAGGTTACTCGTTTTATTATCTATATGTTTTGTGCACATTTTCTCTAAGTGTGTTATACATCAGTAAAAACACCATTTTAGGGGCGCTGGTGGTGTAGCTCATGGCTACACATGTTTGCATGGACTCGCATGAGACCCTGGGCTCAATTTAGCACTCTGAAAATAAACTACCTGAACACGATTTTTTTTTAAAACAGAATGGAAATACTAACAAAGGAGGTGCTGGTCTTTCTGTAGAAGGGAAAGAGAGCCATAGAGAAATGATTTCAGGATTAGAATTAGATAAATAAGTCCTTATCAAGTACGTGCAGTTTGCCAGAACTGTCCTACACGTTTTCATATATATTCTCTCATTTGATCCTCCTCAACTAGCCAGAGTCACTGATAACAGTAGCCAACAATACTGAGTATGAGTATGCGTGCATGGCTTTCGGGATTAAGTCACCTGGTCCTTAGACCTGCAGGGTACAAACCAGCAGGCCCTTTACAGGGAGCTCAGAGGCCCTCTGGGCCTGGCGTTCCCCTTGGCCTCACACAGCCTTACGTCCCAAGTGCATTCAGACCCACAGCCCAGAGACACACAGACCGGACTTCATACACTGTGTCCCGTGCAGGATCTCACTGCCTGTGGTATGGATGGCATAAATCCTACAGGTTTCTTATGAATAGCCCAGTTTGGGTTCTCTACTTTGTTGCATTGAGAAAACATTACTTAGTTAAATGTAAGCACATAAAATGTGCCAAATTCTCATCACTTTATTTTGTCACAACTTTGTCTCCTCATATGCTAATTGCTTCAGAAGGGGGATTGGCTCGGGCCTCCCACCCCGAGAGCCAAAGGGGCCAAGGATTGTGTTATTATGTCTATTTCATAGATGAAATATGAGCCTAAAAGACTGTTTTTCTCCTTACTTTACCTTAAACTGTCCCCACTATGCCATGTTTGCAACATTCAGGAGAGGTGTCAGGAGGTGGAATTCCTGCAGAAATGGCTTGTTTGTGCCCATCCTGTCAGCAAGGTGAGGCCATGGGCAGGTGGGATTAGGGCCTCACAGGCCTGAGAGAAGATGACAACCAGGTGGGCTTGAGGTTTCCTGGGGCCTCATTACCTTTCCTTGCAACACTTTGGCTTTTGGCTTCATTTATGCAAACTCCTCTCTCGCCTGGCTTTCTGTAGATGGGCAAAGCCAAGTGGTTGCTCCACCCACTGTGCCCAGAACTTCCCTGCTCTTGCTAAGGAAGAGGACACAGGCCTCTTGTCTAGGACATCTAATCACCCAGCCTTCTGGGCAATCTCCCCCCCCTCCCCACATCGGAGAGTGGCTTCCCTGCTGGCCTGCTCAGTCCAGGAGAGGAAGGAGAAGGGACCCCAGTCTTCAGCATCCCAAGCAAACCGCTGGGCCCCAGGCCTTCCTTCAGGGAGGGTCAGAAAAATGAAAGTTAGTAGGTTCAAAGGTAGAGAAGAAAATGGTGCGTCTCCAGGGACTGACTGGTATGGGAAAGGCGCCCTTCCTGGCTGGGGCAAAGCCATGCAGCCAGCCCCATGCCTGGCCCCAAGTCTGGCTCCTGGCAGGCACCAGCCAGGAAGGGGTTGTGAGACCGGGAGGAAACAAGGGTCACTGCTCTGGGCAGCCCCCAGCCTACTGAATCCCAAGTGCTTTCTGGATGATCCTCTTCTAGAAGAGAGGAGGACTTTAAGAGGGCGAAGGAAGGCACCGCCAAGTTCCAAGGAAAGGGAGGGCTGCTCCTGTCCCTAGGTTGGAAGCTGAGGGTTATACCCAGTGATGGAGAGGGGGGCAGTCAGGAAGAAGGGTCAGAAGGACAGAAGACCCAACATCCTTAGTGACCAGCTCTGTGACCTTGACTTGACCTCACTAATACTCTGTCTTCTCCTTGGAAAAGGATAAAATAGCCTTGCGTGGGGCTGCCTGAGCACCAGAGGTGCCTGTAGATGGCTTAGCTCTTAGTAGGTCCCCAATAATCCAGTCTCTGTGGTATGTCTGTAGCCTCATCCTGCACTCTGGGCACAGGAATGGGACATGGGGTGTGGCTCCAGCCCGCATCCCCTGGAGTAATTTCCTTAGGATTCAAAAGTTCCATGGGGTGGGAAGTCTAGAAAGAGCCCCGCTGCCTCCCACCCGCGGGGCCATCTGCTGGGGACCTGCTGGCCGAGCGAGTGGAAGGACCTGCTCGTCTGGAACGGTTTTTCCCCTCCCCGGCGACGTCCGTCCGTCTGATGGGTGTGTCGGGCAGGAGGTGATAGCTGGAGGACTGCGGGAGCAGGCGAGCTGCCGAGGAGTACGGCGCCGAGCAGTAGGTGACAGCATGGCTTCCCGGGACCTGCCGCCAGCCACCTCCTACGCCCCGCCCGACGTGCCCTCGGGGGTCGCGCTGTTCCTCACCATCCCCTTCGCCTTCCTCCTGCCCGAGCTGGTGAGTGCGGCCGCCGGCCACCGAGGGAGGAGGGCCGGGAGGGAGAGGCTGGACCGACCATGGCCCCCGCCCCGGGACGGGGTCTGGGACAGGGCAGCGCTGCCGGGCCGCCCATGGCCGCGCTGGCTCAGACTCAGAGCCGGGCGCTGGTCTGGCCCCAGTCCGTGTCCCTCTAGGCTTATGCAGGATGGCTGGGTTCTTCCCTCTAAAGCAAAACCCCCTGCACGAGGGAGCGACCACCCTCAGGCCACTTGGTTGCTGGATCTGTAACATCTTCCCAGAATATCCAGGAAGATATTGTCAATAGACTTTTATTACAAGGTTTCTTTTCTCCAACTCTTCGTGCTTTCCTAAAGCTCAAAATGAGGATCAAAAAGATCCTTCTGAGAGGGGTCTTCCAATGTTTCTGAATTGTCACTTGAGATGATTTTGAAGTTTAACTTATGTGGGCTTCCCACAGAGGTAGGTATGACAGCATCGGCCATAAAACAATCTCCTGAGACGCCCTGGTTCAATTCAAGAGCTTGTCACTGCCTGACTCTGGGGCACCCCACAGCCAAATGGTGATGCTAATCCCTGCCTGAACTGGCAGGTTCATCTGCAGAGCTAGGCACCGGGTTCAACACAACACTGTTGTCACCCCTTTCACCGAGAGGACATCAAGTCAGATGAACAAGTCAGAGCAAAGGAGTGCATTTTGTTTTTCCAAACCTTCTGATATATTTGGTTTGGTGGAGATGTTTTCTTACCTGCTTGGGGTTTGGCAGTGCTAACCCTTGGGCAGAGAGAAAAAAACAGGAAATGGAACCACCTATAAAAGTGAACATAGCCAGCCCTTTTTCTTGGTCATCTGCCTGGAAGGTTGAGCCCCACTGAGTGAACTATATATAGGCAAACTAGTTAAAAGGCAGCCTTGGGTGCCCATGAGAAAGGGAAGGCAGGCTGGGCCTTCCCTGTGGGTGACTCTGGATGAAACCCCACCCAAAAGGCAGGTTTCTGCCAGGACTACCTGCCCCTCCCAGGGCACAAACGTGGGCATCCTGCCAGACTGATGACATCTAAGTGTTCTAATGAGTTCTGTGTGTCGGGACCTGGGTGTGTCCCTCACCTTGGGACAGCCACATGAGCTGCCAAAATCGTAGTCAGCTTCACCACTTTTTTTGAGCATATTTTTTTGTCTGTCACACAAACCACTGGTAGATGGGGGTCTCAGGGACTCTATCTGCTGGAGAGGGACCCAGGGGCACTTCCTCTCCACAGAGGTCCAGGAGGGGACAAGGATTATCCCTGGGAATTTGGACCCCAGAGGACAGGCTGGATTTCCAGGCTGGGAGGCAAGACAGAGAAGGTTCTAGAGGCCAGAAGAGAAAACATGGCAGGCGGTTGGAGTGATGGAAAGCACCCAAAGAGAGAAGCATTGGGAGGGTTCATTGTGGGTCCCTACCTGCCCTGCTCTTACAAATGGGATTCCTGCAAGAACGAAGTGCCTGCTTATGTGGGGCCCTGAAACTTTTAACGTTTGGGGGAGGGGGGCAAGGGGAATGGAAATAATGTCATTTAGTCAATTTTCTTCGTTTTAATTTTCACTTTTAAATAATTTTAGATGTATTATAAAGCTGCACTAATAGCACAGGAAGTTCTATCACTCAGATTCCTACAATGTCCACAGCTTCCACAATATAGCTTTCCAAATCAGAAAACTAACCTTAATACCATGCTACTGACCATTGAATTCAAATTTTGCCTGTTTCTCCAACTAACATCCTTTTTTGGATTCTGGCCAGAATCCTGCATTACATGTAATTGTCATAAATTCTTCATATCCTTTCATCTGCAACCTCTGTCCTTATCTTGCCCCTTCAGAAAGAGTGCTGATGGTTTCTTGTGTACAGTGTCATCCAATGTTTTGTCCAATGTTTGTCCCATTGGTCTTTTCCAATGTTTCCTCATTTGTAACTTTTATTTGTAACTCACAACCAATCCTTATTCATTGCTGAAAACGTAGAGAATACAACCGTAATTGTTGCTGTATTTATGCATGTTGTTCATATATGGGCCCATATGTACTTAGTGGGATCTTCTCTGCCCGCTGCTCTGCACCCACACGAGCACTCCTAGCATGGAACCTAGAATCCAGCAGCCTGGGTCCAGAGGAGCGGGCCAGGGAGGGAGTGGGAAAGGAAGGCAGAATGTTAGTTAAGGTTAAGTGGCAGTTCTCACCCCATGAGCTAGAAAGGTGAGTGCAGAATCAGCCTAGCACAAGCCCCTCTCTGGCCCTTGTGGCCTGGGCATGTCTCCCTCTGCTGCCAGCTGGGGTTGCTGTGACAGCACCAGGCCTCTGGGCCAGCTGACTCTCTGTTTTGGGACCTAAGGCCATGAGCCCAGGGAGTGGAATGTAAAAGTGGGAGCTCAGGTCCGCAAAGGGAGCAGAGAAAGCAAAATCTCTTTCATCCATAGTGGGGCAGCCCAGGGTGGGTATCACATGGGTGGTGTCTACAATGTCTGAAGCCCTTTCCCTCAACCACTGTTTTCTGAGCGCCTCTGAGAACGCCCTGTGCTAAGAACCTGCCCCCATGAACACAGAACCAAAAACAATCAGAGAGCAAATCAGACAAGGACTCAAACCAGGTGAGATCTTCCGCTGGCTTCCCTGAAAACCATGTGCCACCCTGACTGGGAGGGGCAGCCTCTGGCTCTTTGTGTTCCCTGAGGATGATAGTCCAGGGTGGCTCAGACTTTAAGAGGAGCTGTGGTTTCTCCACCCACCTTTCCTCCCTGCAGCCTGTTCTTACCTGTCTTTGCCTGGGACGGCAAAATTAACATTTTAAACCTTTTTTTAATTCTGCAATAATGATAGATGTATAGAAAGTAGCAAAGATGGCACCTTCCCTCAGCTTCCCAGGGGTTACCTCTTTCTTAACTAGACAGTATTAAAGCCAGGAAACTGACATCCGTCGGAGAACTCTCTGCCTCTCCACCGTGTCCTCAAATGTGCAGATTCATGTACACACTACCACAAGCAAGGTCCAGGGACTGTCTCTCCACCACAAAGGGTCCTCCCTGGCTACCCCCTCTGAAGTCCCCCCTCCATCCCGTACCTCTTTCCCCTGTTCTGAGCGGACTGCTGAAAACCACCACTTCTACAGCCATAATACCCTTATTCGAGAAAGTTACATAAATAAATGGAACCACACAGCATGTGTGTTTTAACACTGACTTCTTCCACTCAGCATAATGTTCTTGATGTCATTGTTGCCTGCCTCAATAGTGCGTTCCTTTTCATTGCTGGACGGTGTTCCATGGTACAGATTTACCACAGTCTAACTGGTCACCTATTGGATGTTTCTAGTTCTTGGTTGTTCCAAATAAAGCTGGTGTGGGGCTGGGCATGTGGCTCAAGAAGTAGAGCACCCACCTATCAAGTGCAAAGCCCTGAGTTCAAACCCCCATACTGCCAAAAAATCAGCCAAATAAAGCTGCTGTGAACATTCACGTTCATAGCATAGGTGTGCTTAATGCTCACGTCTTGGAGAAAATGCCTGGGTGGAATAACTATCTGCTTCGTTTTTATTAAGAAACTGACACATTGTTTTCCAGGGTGGTTAGAAAATAGTTCTTGCACTTTACACTCCCACTAGCAAGGCACTAGACTTTCACAGTAACAGTGATGTTTTATTCCGTGTACTGTTGAATTTGGATTTCTCATTTGAAAATAATCTCCAAGTGTGAGGAATCTTTGAACCAATGAATTTTAAGATGGGAACAGAGTTCTATTTATCGCCTCTCTCCTCCATTAGCAAGTGTGGGTACCAGCTTGTGCCAGTGCATGACAACCAGTCCTGCCTCACTTCAGAGCCAGCCATCTGTGGGTAGCCGGGAGCCCACCATAAGGTGACTTACCTGTTACCAGTTGACTTCTGAGCTTTTTTGCAAGCTGAGGGTTCACACCAGTGGCTATCCCTGAGGGAATACTTTATAAGTAAGCCCAAGAAAGACTTCTAACTTTTAGCCTTTGCACCAATTGACTTGTTAGATTGTTGACTAATTAAGATTTCTAAGGGAAGATTCCCAAAGGCTCTGCTAGTGAATGGGGAGACGATTTGGTTTGAACCCTATGGTTCATGGAGGGTGTTTCCTTCCGTCTTCTTCCCTCACCTGCACGTGGATCAGAAGGATATGCTCAGATGCCCCACTTGTTCATTCCAGGCTCTTCCAGCTTGGGAAGCCTATCCTTATGTCTTACCAAATCCCTAGTTTCACGTTAACTTCAATCTGCTTCTTCTTTCACACCCACCAGGTCCAACTCTTTTTTGTTTAATCAATTCTAATTTTTTAAATCATATTATTGTTGCTCTGGGAGGTACATTGAGGCATTTACAAAAGTTCTCACAATATGTCATAGTTGAATTCACCCCTTCCATCATTCTCCTTTATCCCTGCCTCCCCCCATTTCTGGAATACTTTCAACATAGCTCACTTTTCCATTTTTATGCATGAATATATAATATTTCCACTACATTCACCCTCCTACACCCTTTCCTTATATCCTCCCCCTTCCCACTGGTACCAACACCCAGCCAGGACCTGTTTTACCTCCCTAATCTCCATTTTTTGAAAAGACATTTTTGTTTGTTTAAGATAACTGTACAGGAAGTTTCCTTGTGACACTTCCATGTATATGTGTAATATAACCCAAATTAGATCATCCCCTCTATTTTTCTCCTTTCAATCTTAGTCACCTTCTTATGATGAGTTCAACAGAAGGTTTAAAAATTCTGTATTCATTCGTGTATACAAATACATCAACTATATTCATAACTTCGTGTATTTGTATTGTGTCAATCTCCCACATATGAGAGAAAACATGTGGCCGTTGTCTTTCTGAGCCTGGCTTGACATAATGTCCTCCAATTGCATGTATTTACCATCAAACCACATGGTTTCGTTAATCCTTATGGTTGAATAAAACTCCATTTCATATATGTACCACATTTTCTTAA